ACAGAGCCGCTGTCTTTTTTTCCTATATTTCTTTTCTTTTTTAGAATTGCTATAGGTAACCAAAAAGATAAGACGGCTCTTTTATTCTTTAAAGATATATGTTTTGTTAATCTACAAGGAAAAGAAAACATGTACAATGTGAATACACATGCAATATTGTATTTCGCTTCATAATATTGAGACCTAACTTTAATGTCATACGTTCGAGGTTCTTTAAATAATACTGTATCTATTCAGTTTAACTAATGATAATGTTACTATCTAGCTACAATCGTAAATGCTATGATTTTATAAAGACAAGCTAAAGTTTTGTTAAGTGTATTATAGATTAAAGCGTAATGTTCCTAAACGACAAAATTTTAAGCATTTCAAATAATACTTGATATATAAACTTTAAACTTGTAATGTGTAAAACATTTGTAAAAAGGGATGTGTGCATATTAACGAAAATAAATGAAAATCACACTCTATAACTGCATGCGCCTGAATCGCCTTTCTGCATTAAACATTTTTAAAATATACTTGAGCAAAAACAATCACAACAAGAGGCTCATAAAAGCCTAATATCTCTCACCTGTAATTTCAGTTTCAGGCATTTGACTTATTTGCAGATCTTACTGTTTTAATCAATTTTGTCATTTACACTTTCTCTCTTTCTATAATAATATTAAAGATAATACATAACCCAAAACTGAAAATTAATCCTAACAAATTAACTAGTTCTGGTCAGTAACCCAACAATAAGTTGTCCTATTGTTCTGCAGATTACTAGACAGGTAGATCTAAACCGTTTTTAACAATTTCACCTGTGTCAGTTTTGTTCTTACTGCTTTAGCATGTTTAGTTTTTGAGATGAAAGACAAAAACTTCATTTAACCCCTATGTTCTATTTTTTAGAAACTGTCGCCATGTTTTTGAATGGATCAAATCACCGAATACAATCTATAAACAATATACCCTAAGGAACATTCAATTAAAGTTTTTAAGTATTTAGCCAAGTACTTTCAGAGAAGAAGATTTTTTAAAAACTAATTAGACTTTCACAAAAATGTTTAAAAAAAAAAAAGGTTTTAAGGGCAATAACTCCTTAAGGGGTCAATTGACTATTTTGATCAGGTTGACTTATTTGTAGATCTTACTTAGCTGAACATTTATTGCCATTTAAACTTTCTCTCTATCTATTATAATATTAAAGAAAACAACCAAAAACAGTAACCCAACAATGGGTTGTCGAACTCGTCTGAAAATCTCATAACAGATAGAGCATGACCCATTTATCATTTAACTTCTTTTACATTTGCTCTAACTGCTGTAGCTTTTGAGATATAAGCCAATAACTGCTTTTGTCTCCTATGTTCTATTTTTAACAATGGCGGCCTTGTTTGTCTATGGATCAAAACTTCGGATACAATGTATAAACTAGATACACTAAGAAACATTAGGTTAAAGTTTGGAAGTATTTGGCCCAGTGGTTTCAGAGAAGAAGATTTTTTAAAAAGTAATAAACGCACGAAAAAATGTAATGTCAATTGACCCCTTATGGAGTTATTGCCCTTTAAAGACAATTTTACACTATTTGTTCATCTTTTTTGCTAACATTTAAAAATCTTCTCCTCTGAAACTACTGGGCCTAATACTTGTACACTTGTTCCTTAGGGTAACTTGTTTATAAAGTGTATCCAAGTTTCGATCCATGAAATTAATTTTTTATAAAAGTGATTTAATAAAAAAAAATGTGTTTACTAATATTGGCCAATACGTAACTGGTTTCTTAAAAAAAAGTCTAAAGATTCTAATCCCGGTCACTTACAGGATTTTGAATGCGTACATACTTTTGCACTTATGGACATGATAGACATGATGCTGCGACTTCAATTTTCTCTTGAATACGATAAACTACAGTCTAGCATATTATAAATGTAACTCACCGTAATTATCATAACACTTCTTTCAAATTAAGTTCATTTTTGACTAAATGAAAAATCCTAATTCAATTTCAATCAGTCATGATAAAACGGCTAAAGGTGAACATGAAGATGAAGATAAAAATGAAGTGTGAATATTAGTAGTATCATATTTGTAGTGTTCATGAGAATCTCTTAAAGACAAGTGCATGCAACTAATATTTTAACCATCCAGTTTATTTAATTCTCGTAATAATTGTGATATATTGTTTTGATTTTAGAAAGCTTGCTAAAACGTAAAATTTTGGACGAATGCAATATCAAAATAATACTCAAATAATCCTTAAATTTAAGCAATCATTTTTGTCCTTACATTTTAAGTTTTGCACAGTCTGTGAGATCGATACCCCGACGTATATGAGAAAAACAAAATTAACAAAAGAATTCATAAAAAAAGAAAATCGAACGATGACAATACGTTATTCAAGATATTACAATTCAAAAAGGCACCATTTTTAACAGTACTAACAAGCAATTCACTTATGACTAACTAGACAAAGTTTATTAACGCCAATCATATTTCATTTTCGAATAAGTTAGAATGAAGGTATCAGTTAGGTTGACATGGAGTAAAACAAAAAGGTACACACAATAAAAAACAAATGTGTGATCCGGAATAAGTAAGGCATGAAGTTTGTGAGACTCATCTGGTTAGTCGGAAAAACACTCAGAAATATTTTTTTATTTTAATTAGTATCTGGTGAGGTGGGTGTTTATTACTAACACTACTTGTAAACATAACCTCAGGAAATGTATATGTTTTATGAACGTTCACAAGTGTTATGTACAATTATAATTCCAATACAACCGAAAACAAACGATGAAAAATACAATATTTTTTATATTTTGCAAAAATATACCCCTATTTTTTATTCTTAGGAAGACTGTACTTAGCTGTTTTATACAGGAAGCAACACGCAGTTTATCTTATAAAAGGGAAAAATAAATTTAAGCCAGCGTAACTTCATCATCACTTAGACGGTTGAAAAATTATCATTTAATAAGTTTTCTGTGTTAGTAATTTATAACATAGACGATTTCCCCAAACACTGGAGAAACTCATTTTGAGAAAAAAATGTCACTTTCTCAAAATGTATTTCAGTCCATTCTAGAACAATTCATGAAGAGGAAACTTTCCCTTTATACCTATCAATGGAATATGATAAGCTTTTGATAAAAATATGACTTGTATTATAGAATACACCCCGATTTCAAGTCCAGAAAAAAACATTGAATGTGTTTCAATAATTTTATCTAAAGGGGTCAAATCATGTTTTCAGAGACATACTCTCCAAAGTTCAATATGCAAATGTTGAATGAATGCGCATCTTGAAAACTTATCTTATTATGTTTTTTAGATTGAATATTAATAACATAAACCTCAAACCCACTTTGATCGTTGGATTTTACCCCACAGTAGCCGCAATCTAACATAGATAATTAATATAGGTAGTGAGTAAACATGTGTAATTTCTTAAAATTCAATTTAAACTGCTCGACGGTTAAATTACGTTATCAGAAGAGCATCTTCAACAGGTCATTTGTACCTAAATCAACGCGCATGTCTTGATTATTTGACTTAATTTGTTTTCAATTAGCAGTTAATTTACGGTTGCAAAAACACATTTGAAAATGGGTCAGTGATCGACAGAAATAACGACCATACATTACTAATAATCATATATTTAATATGTGTTATGTTTGATAATTAGATTTAAAGGGCTCGACTATTATATTGTGATTTAACACTCTGAACAGATGGTTTATTCATTTGTCAAGTCAAATTATTATGCTAATAGAATTTAATTTGCGTGTAATTAGTGTAATTGTGGTTCTGGGCTTATTCATGTTATAACTGACAGAAACTGCTTCCGTACCATCGTTATCCAATAAACATATGTATATACAATAATAAAACTATTATTCTAACGATAATTCAGTTTAAAGGGCCCTCCCGTTTAACTTCACTATAAGAGGAGATTTTTCGATATTTTATTATCAACAAACACTTTTTATTTATTTGTCGCATTTACTATTTCAAGGAACAGACTGAACAGGTTCATTGTTAGTCAATTCAAAGTATAGTTTTCTATAATGTGCGTAATTGTGATTATGGGTTGGTTAAGCATCCATTTACTGTCGCAGAAAACATTTTCTCGTGGGTTATAACCAAGAGAAGTTTTAAACCTTACTTTGCAAATTAAACAAACATATTGTCAACACAATTGTGTTTCTTCCTATACTTTGTTTTTTGTTTTTCTTTTTCAGTGAAATCTTTTAAGTAATCACATACTCGGTATTGTTTTGTATTCATGAGGAGAGTCCATTGAAAATCTTGATATCTTAACACTTTTGGTTTTTATAATTTTGTTTAGTTTTATAATCATTCATATGTTTAAGTTACAAAGATTTTTGGCTTTCACTAACGGAAATTTTAAAAAACACACAAGTGTGTCCACCAATGTACAAAGTGTTTCGTTATCACAAACCTAATCGAAATGAACTAAATGTATCTTTATTTATAGATAAATTCAAACAAAAAAGTATAAAAACTATTGTTTGAAGACATACATGTACACACATTTTATATTACAAATTCTACCATTATGAAACATCCCCTCCACTTATACTAACTAAAACTGTAAGGAACCAATGTAAATATGCTCCGAACTGTTCAACTTAGGTGATCAAGTTCATGTGCATGTCAGGTTTTAGCCCCCTCTCCCTAGACAGCAAATGAAAACACTTACAGCATTACGTTGCTATGCAGAACGTTTAACACAACCGACTACTACTACAGCACAAGATGCGCAATGAATTTCCCTTCAGTAGATATTTAAGGCAAAACTATTTCAAAATCAATACATACTATACTATGTAGAGCTCGTTAAGATCAGTATGACGGAAATCCTTTCTGCAGGTAGCCGGCCGGGCGATACCCTAACAGATAGTCATGGTACCCCCATGAATAGTCAAGGGACCCCCGTAGTATATGAGGAAAACGAAATTAACAAAAGAATTTATCAATAAAAATCAAACGGTGACAAAACATTTTATTCAAGATATTACATTTCACACGATGCACCATTTTCAACAGCAATAACAAACAATACACGTATGACTAATTATACATAGTATATTACATATATTAGGGACAGCATATTTCATTTTCGAATAAATTAGAATAAAGGTAGTATTTAGGTTGCACATGGAGGTAAAACAAAAAGATACACACAATAGAAAACAAATGTGTTATCCTGAAAAAGTAATGCTTAAAGTTTGTAAGACTCATTTGGTAAGTGGAAAAAAAACATCCAGAAATATTCCATATTCTAATTTGTATCTGGCGAGGAAGATGCTGGTTACTAAAACTATTTGAATAATTAACTTCAGGAAATGTATATCTTTGATGATCGTTCACAAGTGTTATGTTCAATTATAATTCAAATAAACCAATTAGAAAATACAAAGAAATCATAGTGAAAAAAGTATTATCTTTTATATTCTGAAAAAACAGAACAGATCTTTAAATGAATAAATATATGCATATTGCCCATCAAAATAATCATCATCACAAACTATCAGGCTTACGCATAACAATCACAACAGAACATGTATTTCTGACGTGAACTGTAATTAAAATAACCTCGGTAATTGAGTTAAGGACACTACACAGACCTTTTGTTTTATAGTTAACTCCATATAGACAATTTTTCAAAGGTAAAATATTGAATGTATGCAGTTTCTTTTCTTCAATTTTTACACTTTTTAACAGCAATTATTTTTGGCCCTGGCGTTGTCAGTTTGTTTTCGATCTATGAGTTTGACTGTCCCTCTGGTATCTTTCGTCCATCTTTTGCCACTGGACTGTAATACATATATATAATTAAAGGTACTTCAAATGCAAATAACACATGACATATAGACAAGGATGGGAACAAGTCTTTCATTAAAAATCTAAAGTAAAACTTATGTTCAAAGTAGGTGCTTTGGAGTTAAAGGAATGTGGAAAAATATATTTCGGAGAAAGAATTCCTTAGAATTACACTAGTTACGTAGAAAAAAACCTGATGGTGGTAACGGACACTACAAAGTTGTTACTGTTTCAACAATTTTCTAAAAATATCAAACTTTTTTTGGATAAAAGATTTCAAAAGTCTTTTATACAGATTTTCTTGAAAGTATATGTTTCGAACATTACAAACTACCTGAATTGTAAATATACAAAGAATTAAGCCTAATTTATCTTAAAATTTACTTGAGTTCATACAATTAACTTACATTGCATTCCATACAACATATACAATGTAATATTCCTATTTGAAATACAGATCTTTAACATATTTTGAGTTGTTGTCCGGTTGAGGTATACTCTACATATGTTATTTATATCAACAAATGATATATTTAATAGAAAATGCTGGAAATAGCATGTACAATAGAGACAAGACTCTCGAACCATAGTTTTTCTACAATGCCGAGGGCAAAGTGTCCAAATTAAAGTTTCAATGATTTAAAGATATGAATTTTGAAAATTGACTGCGATATATTTCTTTTTTTTTTTTTGCTTTTCGATATAAATCACAATTCGTGGTTACAGACCCAACAAAAATAATCTAAAGTTTTAAACTTCATACAAATATTTTTGTAAGAAGAATGTTCTTAATCAAACATCATTAAAGATCTCATCTTTTATGGTTATGACAAATTGATACCACAACGGGGTTTACAATTAGATTTTCCGGTTGCAAATGAGTACATCGTGTACATCAAGAATTGCAATCAGCTCAAATATTTTAAGCAGGAAACTGCTTTATTATTCAAAAAAAAAAATATAATCAGCCTGTTATGATGCTTCAGCAAAGTAGACATGTTGATGTATAGAATCTGAAAAATCAGTCACTTTTGTTGAAATAAAAATACTCATAAAAATGATTGTTATGGACATTTTATCATTTGTTGTAGTGTCCGTAACCATGTTTTTTTTTACTGACTTAATTCTGATATGAAGGTGCAACATATGTGTAAAATTTCAATTGTTAGAGGCAAATATCTTCTGATTTACAGTAGATATTTTATCTTGGAGAATATAAGCTAGACACGACACTTTTTTTGCAAATTTTTGTTTTTTACTTTGAAAAATTTTAAACTATTCTATATCAATCATAACAGTAATATATCTGTATTTCATTTTAGTATCGGTATACTTGATTATGTTGGAACACATTAATAGAAAAAATCATAAAATAAACATCATTTTTCAAGATTCTAAACATGCTAAATGATCAACGATTTTTCTATCTATGATAAGAAATACAATTTTTAAATTCTTCTATTTAATAGACAAAAAATGAATGTACAGCACAAAAGATACTAGAAATACAATGACAAAAATATATTTTTTATCACGAAGATAGTTAATGGAATCTAGCCCATCTGTTAAAGAATACAAAACGGTCATCAAGTCAATAACAGTAGAATCAGAATTGAAGGCGTGGACTGAAAAATACTTTAAAACTCTATACAGATCAAGTTAGCGTATCAATACTTTTTCGAAAGAGTCGAAATCTAAGATATTAATAGTTCATGACTAAAGTTAATCAGCAAATTTTAAACGCATATTCAGGACACTAATATGTTTCATGCCTTATATGCAAATTACAAAACAAACTCCGCAAGTTGACACTAGAGTTGACAAAGGTCATGGTTTAGGTTGTAAGACGCAATGGGTTTGGTTTGTTTTTTATTACGTCGGCCTAATTATTTGAAACTTATTTTATTTGTTTCGATTTTGTTTTATGATTTATATTTATGCATCACCTTAATCATGTCAGCCGTTGGTTTTTTACGTAGGAGAGAATCGAAACTTTACATTTTGCATGATTTTGTATCAAACACACAAACAGCCAAAAACATGTGTGATTGAGGTATATCCTCCTGATTATCTTTTTTAGGCGGGGAATAATGACTTTCTGTAAGTTTATAGAATAAATGAACGGTACGAATAAACTACTGCTGTTCTAAACTTGTTGGAATAAAAGCAATTACATAATTATACAATAAGTGAAAAGATTTAAGATAATTTACTAAACAGCTATATACCGCTTCTAAAAATTGGAAATTTTATTTTTTTTAATCCCCCATTCTTTGAATATGTCTTATACTAATAGTGTGTCCAAATTAGGGCCTAGCATACTGGGTTGAACGTGCTGCAGTTGTATCATGCTGCGTTTAGTATATTTTTTTATTCTTGATTAGTCCAACCAGGAGATCTGCTTCATATGAGTACAATAACAAGTCAGCAAGGAGAGGTTCACAATAGGTACCCATTAGAATACCAACAGTTTGTTGAAACTGGAGAAGAACTAAGCATGGGCCTCCAAGTGAAAGTTATTGTTTTTCCTCTCCAAAATTTTCTGGGAACAGGTTTATAACTGACCAAACACTAACACATTTTACTAAAAACGTTTTCTAGAGTTGATCTACATTTAATTCTACAGTAAAAAAACCTCCAGAATAGATTGTTGGTAAACTGAAATTGACAAATAAATTTCCCGCCAGTTAGATCACATGATGCAATCAGCTGAAATGTTACTTTCGGGGTAAGCAAAGCACTCCCAGTAAAAGAATACAAATTTGTGTCATCTTTACTAACACTTGTTCATTTGTGTGTGCATCATTCAGTGACCCAGTCTAGCAACTGGGTGCGAAGATAACCTCATCCTAATCTAACAACAGTATTATTTGAGTGTTGTCTTCACAGGCACTGTCCAAACACATTGCAAGTATTTGAAGTCATTTTTCAACATATTGTTTCACTTGCGGTAATGTATTCACACTCACTTGCTGAGTGTATTGCTTATATTTATACTATAAGTTCAGATAACGTATCATGAAAAGAATACACAATTAAGATATGAAAAACAGGTGACAAACGCAGGTATTACGATTCGATACAACTCTTGTACGTGTCATTATATATTAAATGAAGACAGAAATACACTGTTAATGAGAATTTGTACAGAACAACAGGAAGACTCAACACTTCTAATTCATCAGATAACAAAAGGTCAACATGTCATTTTCATACTAACAAAGTTTTCCTCCTGAATGTCATATTAACAATATTGTGAAATAAATACCCCAGTGTTCAAGTTAAACCAAGCACGTTATTGTTATTTTTTTATATTAGCAAATAGAACACAAATGACATGAGAGTACAAATGTAACCTTGGTCTAAGCAACGATAGCACAAGATACGTGTTTGCAACTTGTGATGACAGTTACTTGGGACCACAGAGGTTTTGTGTGTGAAACTTGCGACCAGTGGTACCATATTAATTGACAAAATATTCATATTAACACATACTATCTTTAAATGATAGCTAGCATGACAAGTTTGCACTGTCTAAGTTGTGAAAATCCAAATTATAGTACATGCCATTTTGACTTACATGGTGCTAGCTCGTCGAACCCATTTGAGAGCTTATATCGTTATTCAAATGATGACTGTACCTTGAAAACACAAACAAAATTAATTAAGCCATCGCACCAGTCTACACCAATACGTACAAATAGAACCAGAGCAAACCGTAAAACACCTCTACAAATACCGAACATCAACTTTCCGTCAGTAAAACGTAAACAACGTGTTCAAAATATCATAGACAGCAATACATCTGATATTGTAATTGGAACAGAAACTTGGCTATATCCAAGTGTAAAAGAAATTGAAACCTTCCCTGAGGATAACAAACAATACAGAAAAGACCGAAAAAATCAACAGGGTGGTTTGATTCTCGTTGCAATTAGATCAGACTATATAAGTGATGAAGTTGAAGATCTCTCACCTAATGATAAGTCTTAAATAATATGGACTTACAAACTATGGGTAGCAGGTCACTTAACATATCATCCTTTTACAATCCAAACAAAGTTTAAAGTTGTTTGAAACATCAGTATCATACGCCTTATCTTTCAAAAATCATTAGACACTGGCGAAGTGTCCATTGATTTGCAAACTGCACATGTCTCCCCAATTTACAAGAACGGGTGTAAATATAATCCAGATTATTATAGACCAATTTCTTTGACATGCATATGTTGCGAAATTATGGAATATGTAGTAAGTGCCATCATGATACACGCAGACAACCATACATTTTGTATCCCCTTCAATACGGCTTACGACATTTTTGAACTTGCGAATCTCAGCTCTTGGAATGTATAGATAATGTCACAATAAATATTGATAAATTCGAAACAAACAGATGAATTAATAATGGATTTCTCAAAAGTATTCGATAAAGTTAACCACAATCTACAGCTGTTTCAACTTACAACTATAGTTAGTAAAGTTATCATATGTAAATAGTTTTATCATATATCATAAAAAATATACAAAAGATGTGTTAACTATGTAAAAATATTTTAATAGTTTGTTTTTTTGTTTTTGTTTATTTCAAATATTTTCCTATTTTTCTTTTTTACTGTAAATATTGTATAAGCCAGGTGAAGTTCAAGTGACATGAACTTCAACGTGTTGAACGTGGTCACTACAGCATAAAAGTAGTAATAGAAGCCGTCCACCGAAATGAACAAATATGTTGTCGATCAAAAAGTTTAGCATTTTGATAATATCATCTTCTGTGTACTTATTTTTAGATTTTGAGTGTTTCTGAATAAAGTAAGCACAACTAAAGTAAGCACAATTCCTTCCGATGACTAGGTATTCATATCGTCTGTTACCATTTTACTTGAAAAAACCTAGGTCAAAATATTGATACGAATTTTACTTGAAGTTGTTAATAAGGAATAGTGGTATAAAGGATGGAAAAATCGAAAGTCTGAATGCTGTTAATCTAGGTCTTAGGATATCCATTAGGTCTTTCGAGTTTTTCAATATTCACATTTGATTGATATCACTTGTGGAATAGCCTATGTCACAATATTTTTGAAAGCACGTTTTGACTGCAGATAAAAGTTAAAAGTTAGGGGAGAGGTGTTTGATGTTTTTTTTTTTTTTTTTTTTTTTTTTTTTTTTGGCAGATCCGGCAATAAAACAGTGTTTGTATGGAGACTTGTTTAAATACTTAAAAACTTAATATTTCAAAAGGTATATATGGATGCCTTATGTAACGAACTTTCTGTCTGTCATATAACCATAAACCTTGACCTCATTTTCATGGTGCAGAGACTACTTGATTTTTTTTTTTTTTTTAATGTTAATTTCTCTCAAGTTATGAATAATATGATAGCTATATTGGTATGTGCGTACCTTGAAAGGTCTGCATGCCTGTCAGACAGTTTTCACCTGTTCTCGACCTCATTTCATGGATCAGTGAACAATGTTAAGTTTTCCTGATCAAGTCCATATCTCCGATAATATAGGCAATAGGTCAACTTTATCTGGTGTATGGAATGATTATATGGTGAACATGTCCAATTGGCAGATTTCATCTCACCTTGACCCCATTTGTATGGTTCAATGATTAACGTTAGGTTTTTGTGGTTTGGTCTACTTCTCAGATATTATAAGTAACTATATTTGGTGTATGGAATGTTCGTAAGGTGTACATGTCCGTTTGCTGGAAGAAATCATTTGACCTTGATCTCAGATTCATGGTCTATTGGTCAATATTAATTGTTTCTTGTTTGGTCTGTTTTTCATATACTGTAAGGAATATGTTAACTATATTTGGTGTATACAATTAGAGTAATGTTGTATATATCTGTCTGGCAGGTGTCATCTGACCTTGACCTTGAGTTCATGGTTCATTGGTCAATTGTTAAATTTCTCTGCTTTGGTCTGTTTTTCAGATACTATAACGATAGGTAAACTATATTTGGTGTATGCAATAATTTTAAGTTGTGTATGTATGTCTGGTAGGTACCATCTGATCTTGACCCTATTTTCATGATTGTATGGTTCATTATTCATCGTTAAATTTCTCTGAATTGGTCTGGGTTTTTTGAGATACTGTAAGGTGAACTATGTTTGGTGTATGAAATTGATATACTGCCAACATGTCTGTCTGAAAAGGTTTATCTCACCTTGACCTCATATTCATTGATCATTAAAATGTTAATTTAATATATAGCTTGTTTTTTTTTCACTTTCAACATAAATTCAATTATGAACACTAATACAGGCGAGATATTTTAGTATGTCCACTATTGTTTGATGATGTTTAGGTCTTAGGTTTCTTGATTTCACTTTCATCTTAATCTAATAAAGATATAGATTTATGATTACACTACTTTCTGAACAAGTAGTGAAATCATAATCCTATATTTCAATTAGATTGTTTTCATTTTAAATACACACATGTTGAATTGATACACAAATGTATGCAAGAATATTTATCTATAACATAATACTGTTAATTTTAAATCATATGTGGATAGTATTGAACCTGTTAAAACATGATATTTTTGTAACGAATGTTTGGCTTCAAAACCAATTGTATGATTATGTATCAACATTTGACGTTTTGTAACATTGTTTGCACATCTCTCATTATATGTTTCATTATTTGTCTGTTAGAGTTTCTGATTATGTTTTCTGAGAGATGTATTAATAAAGGCGCTCGACACTTGTTTTCTAATCACTATATTGTTTATATTTCATTGTAATTGTCATGTCATATCTGAATACAATACTGTGCATAATATTTAATTCCAAAAGATGACATTAGACACAAACTACTATAAAACACATCAAATGCAAGTCTGAATCAAGAATTTGAAAAATCTAAATCATTTAGTTTCACTTTGTTAACTTTGATTTTTTTAATGTTACAATAATCAAGATTTAAATCAAGACCAAGAAACAGTTTACGGATTGTGTTGTATATTTGAATTTCCGGCATGTATGTATTTCTCAAGTTACATAACTTAAAACCAGAAAAACTAAAAAAAAAACCCAGACATCATTTGCAAAATATGTTTTGTACAAAAGTTTTTTTTATATAAGAACCATTTTGTCAAATATGAATGTCAAATACAAACGCTCTGTGTCAGCGAATGATTTAATGGGAAACCGATCTCGTCTCATTCCAGTAAGCAACTTGGCAATGGTAACATATTGTATTACGCAAAGACCAAAGCCAATGTTTATATTTCTCCAAATAGATCTGTATCCGACATCAGACATCAGACAAGCCATTTCGGTGCAAATCTATAATAATAATCCTTACAACTAAATGTAATGGCGACTGATTATTACGCTTTCTTAGATTTAACCATCTCTTCAGTCTTCTTAACATGAAATATTCCCAAAAAATCAACAAATCTGGGAAGTGTAGCATAGTTGGTGATAGTATTGGACAGTTCAGGCATAGGAGCATCATCACCAGAGTAAGGAATTCCTGCAACGTCATGCTCAGCAACACAAAGAGAAAAAAAAACATAAATCCAGAAACGTTAAAAATTGAATGTATAGTGTAATGATTTTACAAGCTGAATAGCTTGATTTTCTAATTGGACATAACTTTTTCATTGACATCATAAACTTGGAAGATCCAGGTTGCACAAACGTCAGTTAGCTTAACTAAGGTTTATCTCAATATTAAGGCTAATTAGGATAGAGGTCAAATGATTTGATGCTTAGATTGTATATATATTAATATTTTGAGTGTAAAATTAGTATTTTTGATTTTTTTTTTTTTGCGTTATTTTTCCTACATATGACAAATAAATTTAAAAGAATCATAAAAACAAGACATCTATAGAATTTCGAAATTACAGATTGATTAAGGGAGATAATTTCAACCAAAAATGAATAAAATTTGCAAGAATTGTATCTGTTTTTTCCATGCAAGCAAGAAATAAAGCTTATGACCCCCTGATTTTCTTTGCTTCATTAAAAAAACCTCTTCTTATCCTCAAAATTCATTATCATATGTCTAGCGATTAAATTTTAATCTCCCTTTAAAATATACAGTAAATTATGCATAATTGGAGAAAGAATAGCTTGAAAATTAGTCTGATGACCTATCTCTTTCTACTAGAATAAAGAGAGATAATATTTTTATTCATTTAAACAGTATGTTTTGAAAATAAAATCAAATCTAGATTGTCAAATTATTCACGAGTATGGTATCCTCATTAACGTTTATTTCCACAGATAAAGAAAAAATGATAAGGGTTCAACTGACAGTTAATTCTGCGTTAACTGTTCAGAATAGTGGCATTCAGTGGGATTTACCTGGCAGTTAGATGTAACTGATGTTTGTGCAGTAGTGACCTAGGTTAAAACAATCATACCTTAGAAAACACCCCATTTGTTAAAAGCATAGACTTGTGTTGAAATGGAAACTAGAAACACGTGGTAAACATTGAAAGCGAAAATCCTACATCTGTCAGCAATAACTTTCAAAATGACAACCTCTTCTGCGACGTGAGTAAGAAGTCGGAAACAGTTTTGGTTTGGCAGCTAAACCGTTTTAGTTATACCAACAGCATATTTATGGCAATTTATTTATCACAAATTATGGCACTAATTTATATATGCGAGAAAAAATAAAAAAGGTGAAACAATGCGTTATCTCACTTAAAACTAATCTGACATAAAAATGCGAGAAAAGTAAGAGAAAGATTGTGAAATAAAGTGTAATTTCGCTTAAAATTAATTATAAATATGTTATAAAATTACCGAACACGAGGCCAATATACTCTTCCGTAATAATATATTTCGGCAAGTCGATTTAATGATCTCGGCAACTCGACTTCACGACGGCAGAAATAAGCCTCCGTAGACCTGTTTTTTTTTCTTTCCTTCAAAAATAAAAAATAAAAAAAATAATGTCACCATCTTGATATTTTCAAACTCTCCTTAAAACAAATTTATCTGTATGACAGAGAATAGAAATGATATCAATAAATATGAATTCTCATTTATTTCTAAATTTTTATAATAAGTAGAGAAGAATTCTTTACAAATACTTGTAGATCAAAATGTTGTCTTACAATAAAATAAAATTATCTTCCTGTGTTTCATCTACGTTGCCTCAAACTAAAGTTCATTTTGCAACTGGTGTGAGGGTGACAATGATTTTCTTTTTATCGTATTTCACCTAAAATACAAAATATAAATAGATAGTGTTGACTATTTATATTAGAACATGTGCAAATGGGTTTCGTAACAACCGTCAATCAAGGAAACAAGTTAATAAGTCTTTCACATAGTTTAACACTTACATGTAGATTGATGACCTACATAAATGTGTTTTAGTAATTTTAATCGAAAATTGTTATATATATATATATTTAGATGATATATTGGCTCTCAATAATGACGACTTCAGTATGTACACTAAAGAGATTTATCCTGCCTAACTGACTTTGAATAA